ATTAATTTTTAAATGCCTGTTCCACAGCCTGGTTATTTCAGTGGTCATTTCCAAGAATTCCAAATACGGCTACAAGTGGCATGTGACAGAAATGGAGACTTTATAAGAGGCAGGAAAAGGTCAATATGATTAGATATTGATAAGAAAAGTTGTCTGATGAGCAGAATGAAAGCACCAGAAGTTATCTTAAATCGATATCTTTATTATACTCTGCAACTTAAATTATTTTGGTAGTGAAACGTCAGAAACCGGTTAAATGTTTATAGACATGATGACAATGACTTTTAGGGTGTCAAAAGCTCTGTCAGAACTTCAGAGGCTACTTTGTCACACATAACGGATGAATGCCAATATCCTTCTCTCTTTTCAACAAATTGAAGTGTTTGCAGAATCAGTGGGGGGAGGGGGGGATTTTATGAAAAAAACACATTAAACAAATTGAAAGTTGTTAAAATGTAAAGGGTGGGAACACGTGAAGATAATTGTCTTCTGGGTTGCTGTGCCGAACACTTTGTTTCCATCGCCAGGGTGATCGTCCTGGTGATGTAGGCAGCAGGCACCTCTGAAACGTCAGTGTATTTCTACACGGCCCAACAACCGAGAAGACAAGTCATTCTCATACTCGTCGCCGTGAGAACCTCAAACCTTTCACGTGAACACATTTTTAAAAATAATGTTTTTGTTGAGATAATATGAAATTTATGTTTAATTTCTGTTAGATCGTGGTAACTAACGAACCATTACAAGGTTCTGGTATGCGAAATTATTTCGCGAGACCATTTGACATCTCGGAGAATGTTACACGTTAACACGTTACCTGCATGCTTTTAGAATAGTGCGATATAATCTGCAGGGTAACATAACATATTCATTCTCCTACTGCAATTCAAATGACTTGACATTTTCATTTTCCTGTAGCGTGATTTCGTGCCAAACGGCACTCTAGGGAGAAACTGGAATGTTGAAGGGCATAGAATATATATATTAAAAAAAAAACTAAAGGTGAGCTTCGATTTCTTCATCCCTTAAATTGATCAAATGTGAATTAAACAATGTTTTTAAAAGCGACAACTACGGATGGAACAAACCAAACTGGTTAACACGGAGGTAACTTGTCGGACACAAATTCGAGAGGTAACAGGTTCATATCCCGGCCATAGGCTATTAAACTATAGACGTGCTAACGATTTTCCTGATATTTATTCCCTCCATGAAAAGGCTACGTGTGTCTGCTTCCCTCTTCATCCCATGATATTAAATTCTGATATAAAGATATGGGAGAAGGAAACATTTATGTTGGCTGACAGAAGAATTCAAATAAATAAAGGCATTTCCGAACAAAACTTACTGCAAGTGAAGTTAGACGACGTTTTTAAATGCCAGAATATCGTTGATACAAGTTCTTAATGGCTGCATTCGACATCTTTCAGGCAGTACAAATTTAAATGTATGAAAGTATATCGCCAATTTATCCAGTCTCTAATTTACAGGTTATACTGGCTTCGAAGTAAAACAACATTCAGTTTTGACCCAAAATTCTCACGTTTTAACCGATATTCCCATTGCTATGCCTAGTCCGGAATTCTGCATAAACAGTCTCACTTTGTTTCTTCACCTCATGAGCTTTCAAGAAGTGCCTAATGGAATGGGAATTTTCTGATAACTTAATACACAACCTAACCTCACAAACATTTCAGGAGAAGATGAGCTCTACAGGGCCAGTGAGCTGAATGCACATGGACCAACTGTGGTGGGCTGGCAGTCAGCTCGTGAATGCGCCTACCCACAAGAACTCATCCTCCAACTTCATTCAACTGCCATAGTACAAAAGATACAAGTCTTGGCACATCAGTACCTCATTCGTTAGTATTATTAAAACATTATGTGTATCTGTGTAAAGGACTCTTGGTCATTTTATTCACAAATAATGATTAAAGGCCTACACAAATTTCCTATAAATTTAAGAGCCACCTTAAAAAACTAGAAGCAAAGATATGTACATATGTGTGCATAAAAATATAAACACACACATATCAGAAATGGAAATAACACTGGCATACATTTATTTGCTAATGATGAAGCTGCCACCTACATTATTAAATCAGAACTACAGGTCATGAATTTGAAAATCACAAATTTGAAGCAGAAGTTCCATATAATTTAACCATGGCATTTTATGGAACCTGTAGACATTTTAAAATATACAGACCCTATATGAGAGTGGTTTAAAACCAATGATGGTAAGTCATTGAAAACATTACAAAGAAACAAGAGGTTTTATTAATTTAGCATCAGTGGTAAGTACAAAAAGAGATTTACAAAAATGTTGAACAACTTAATTTTCATTGGCATAAAATAGTTTTAGCAATATAAAAACACCATACGCTCCACAAATTGAAAAGATCAATATTCCTGATTTACACCCACTGGCTTCTGAACTGTCAATATACAGAGCGATCACTGCCAAGTTCTTATCAGCTGCTCCTCCAGAACAACTCAGTCAGTAAAGTGAGTGGCTACAGACTGGCCAACCAATGTTAAATTTCTAGAATGTAGCTCTGAATCATCTTAGTACCATCCAATGGGTACAGGGTCAAAGCAGCCATAGTGTGAAGCTGGCCTCTCACGTCCATGAAATTCTTTTGCAAAGCCAATTGTAAAACCAAGTAGCGTGTGCTACAGACGTGCCAAGTGTTTTATCGATATGTCAATGAGCACAGAATTAATCTTGCTCAGAACAAATCACATTGGTGGACCCTTGCTATTCTGATAATCTTCAAGTTCCATGCGATAAATGGTGTCCCTTTGAATATACTTTTGTATAAGCTTGTCCTTTCTTCTGGTTGTCTGCTTACAGCTGAGAAGTTGGAACTGTGGGCAGGGAGTAATATGGATGACACAGATGTTCAGTTTTCAACAAAAACCGCACAATTCGAGTATCTCGGCTTCATCACACTCTCAGATAATCAAACAACTGGATTCACATCACGGGAATTGAAATCTGTCACGGTTCCATCCTGTGTTGCAAGATACCTGAAGTTGAGGTTATATGCCAATCATCCTAATTCCCTCAATGCATATAAACAGGTACACAGAAGCTTAATCGTGAGTTACTGACTGCGTTTTATTCACTTAACAGTGTTTTATCACTTCCATCGGTTTTGCAACACAAAGTAACATGATGATTATGAAAGATAAGACGTGGAAGAACACTGAAGTGATCATTACCTATTTCAAGGTATTATCCTAAAAAGTAAATAATAGGGACTGAAGAAAATCAATTTAATTTTGGATAGCTGATTCACTACAAAACGAAGTTATTAATTCACAGCGTTACTGTGAGGTGCATAAGATGTTAAGAAGAAGATGTCATTGCAAATTTTTATCATGTCAATATACCAAAGATCAAGGTATTTAAAAATTGTTTTAACAGTTACTTTGTATGATTGTTAAAATATGGTGTCTTATTCTCAGAAATGAACACAACCTGAAACTGTTTAAAAACAAAATTGTTAAGAGAAATATTTGGACGTGTGAGAAATAAAGTGTGGAATGAAGAATATTTCATAAGAAACTTCAGAGTTTATACAACTTGCCTTATGTAGCCAAATCAAGGGGATACAGCTCATGTTGAGGGAACTAGAATACGGTGTAGAAATACCTTAGAATGTGGTCCCTTGGAAGAGTAAGGGGATGGGAGGATAATACTAAAATTAATCTTATGGAAATAATTACAAGGACAACTGATTTTAAACTTTCACAGCAATTCATTATTGATGTTGAACTTGCTTTTGGATGCTGGTACCAAACAGACATTTCAGAGGACCACACTATCTGTATCGTCAGGGCTCAAAAGCACATTCAACATCAGTTATGACGTTTGACAATTCAGAATAGTTTCTGATGGCAAGTGTTAGTATTATCAGTGCCAAACATTTGGATTCTGTCACCAGACAGCCAGTTATGTTAAGTCACACATTTGCAGCTACATTAATTATGAAGTTACCTGGTTCCAAACAGCCTTACTAATTCGTCTTTCATAACACTTTATTATATTTCCTCAGAACGAGAAATTAAATTTTCTTGGTTGAATATCAGTATCATATGGTTAAAATCTAAGTGCTGTTTCCTAGTAATTCTTTCGAGAGCTGATGTTCTCATTAGGTTGGACTCATTGCAATCAATGTGCTGGGCCAGTATACTGATTCTCCAAGTATGTCATCATTGGCATCTTCCAAGCTAGAAAAGCCCCTTTCAGAGCAGAACAACAATGGAACAGGGCATGAAGCGACTTCCTCCCATTCAAGTAATAATGGCAACAACAATGCTCTGCTACTTGTAAACAATCCGAAGTACACATCCCCTTATGATGACCTTGCATTTGAGATGTATGTTGACCAAGAAGTGGCCAGAATCATCCGCACAATGGAGGCAAAGAAGCAGCAGGCGGTCATTTGTAAGTCCACAGGACAACAGCATATTTGAAACACATAATTGCTAATACTACTTAGTACTTACAACTGATGTGGAGCACTGACCTAGTGACAAGCTGATAATTACTTCATTTTACGCTATTGCAAATGCAATGATTATAACACTGAACATAAAGGGGACGAGTAAAATTTGAGGTTCTCATGGTACCGAAGATTTTGATGTTGGTCTTCTTGGATGTGTTGCCATGTGAACTTGTAAGTACATAAACATATTTCTACAATATACAATATCTTAGCCAACACAACTATAAAGTTAAAAGCTTACACTTCTTGCCAAAAAATTTACTATCAAATAACTTATTACTGTTATCATGTTTCTTTCAGGTGAGAGGTTTGAGTTTGCACGGAAGCTGAAACTAGCAATGGAAGATCTTCGAAATGCAGGAGAAAAGCTCAGTAAATATGAACTGGAGAAGCGACATGCTATCCAACTTGAAGATTATGAACGTGCAAAACTAAAGAAAGCACAGATGGATGAATACAGACACACTGTCTATCGATTCCTTGAAGTTGATGACCTTCTTGAAATCAATGGGGTAAGAACTAACCAAAGTTCAAAGAATTTTGAAAGTTGGAAAAGTAAAATCATGAACATGAGCTTACAGTATAACTTCTCTGTATCACATTCGAAATGTCCGATTTCATGTCAGCTAACCCAGCTGCAGTTAATACGCCACCACATCCAGACTGCCTCTGGAGATCATCTGACATTCTACCCAATGGGCACTGAGAGTCCTTTTCCAGAGTGTACTGTTCACTAAAGTGCAAAAAGAATTAGTATAAAAAACTGGGTTACTTTGATATATGTAAAAATGTGACTCATATTAAATAAATAATTCAATTAAAATAACTAAGCAAAAATGGGATGATAAGCCAGCAGTTTAACTGACAGTGTTGCCATGCAAGTTAAACAGGGGGCAACTTAAATATATGACACAAATGTAAGGGTGGATTCTACACACCAAAACAATGAAAGAGGTTCATATGGCCCCAGAAAAGCCTCCCATCTGAGAAATAGCCCTCCTTTTCTCTCTGAAATTTCAGGAACAGCAATATACTTGCTTCCCCTCTATTCTTAGAATGAAGTCAAGTAGAAGAAGGATAAGATAGAAGTTGGATAAACTTGCAGCAATGCACTGCAATTTCAGCAGCACCAACACCACCAGTGCTATTTGTGACTTACTTTACAAAATATAAATAAATTATAAATGCACTCATAAAATGTTATGCTTCAACAAAGTTAGAAAAACAACTTACAATGTTGTCCGACAGAAACGGATAAATAGCAGATTTTGTCTCATAAAATAAATGTGACACAATATAGCCTATGCAGTCAAATAAGTGTCATTAAATACCTAAGAATCAGTCAACTTAGTTAACAATATGGGTTATGAATTTCTCCACAAGCAATAACAAATTTGGTCTGTTATGTAAACTTGATGATGTAATGACCATGCCTCTCTGTTTGCAGCCACTAGAAAAAAACGATGAGTGTCTGGAAATATCAATGCCTGGGGGTAAGCGACCTGAATTACCACCACCTCCACGATTGCTTCAGGTACCAGGGGGGCTCCCAGGAAGAGAAGGAGGGGTGCCTCCCAGCCAGAGCACCCCGGCTATGCACCAAAGTCCCGTCTCTCCCTTACACCTTCACTCACGGCCCAAGAGTCCCACACTGCGTGAGTCACATTCATAGGCATGCTACTCCCCACACCAGATGCATACAAACAGACAAACCACACTGGCTAATGAAGAAATTCCATAACTTTTATGAAATCTGAAGGTTCGCCCAAACTATAGGGCCACCCCTTTTCGGCTGCCAGCGACTTTATATTCAATATATTTGCAGCTAATCTTCATAACTGGAGGCCTTCTCCTCTATCCACAATTTGACAAAGCACCCTGCCATAATGACAAGGGACCCACTTAACAATGACACACAAATACTACATTATCAACTTTAAAAATTTACAGTATTGGAAAACTTATAAGGAAAATACCTGAAATTATTTGTGAAGAATTGTGGATATTGCATAATGACGAATGTTATAAAGTAGTACTGCTAAATTCTTTAAAGAGAAGGCTGTGAAGAGTAGGACAAGGCAGGATATGCATACAGAATTTTTGAAGGGATACCTCTTAGAAAGTGATCACTTGAAATACTGAGAAGTAAGTTGGAGGATATTATTAAGTTGGATCTTTGGAACATATTTTCTTAAAATGTTAACAGAAGTGAACTGGCTAAATGCAGGCTTAATAACTAAATTCTACTACTAGAGTTAGGGTCAATGTCAGTATCAGTAAACAGATGTGTATTTTTAGGCAATAAAATCACACTGTCAGCCATTCCTACAACATTACTACTACCTCTGATGTAGTCAATGACCAACCTTGCATGTTGCTTCAGCAAAACGAAACAAGTATCATTAAAAAAATTAGTTTTTTCTTCCACACAGATACAAGTAAAAGCACCCTGACTCCCTACAAACTGCAAGCATGAAATGTCGCTATGTATTGTCTTCATGAGCACCAGCTTTTACTGTCAACACACTGATTTGTGCATATTTACTGTAAGCTTTGTCATAAAGAGATTAAAAGTACCACTAAGTACATAAAATAGAATGCTATGTCCAAAGTATTCATAGGAATTAAATTCAGTAATTATGTAATAATCCACTACAAAGTTCTCTGAATATAATAATTAAATATGTAATATGTTCCTCCTGGATCTTACAGACCCAGCATGACTGATAACATTATGATACTAAGTATACCTACTAATGAGTGAATGTCTAATCAGATAAGCATAATGTCAAATACCAGAGACTAAAACATATGATTGTATTTTTTGTGGTAGCCCCAAGTCAACATCCCAAGACAAGCCCAACAACCAGTCCTACCAATCTACAGTCACATGGTTACCAGCCACCACCAAATAATCTTCGAGGTTCACAGAGACGCCATAAGGCATCTGGAGGAACAGGAACACCCGCCCGAACAAGTTTCGAGGCTTATGAAGAACGTACAATTCCAGCTCTCAGGCAGTAAGTCTGGAGTAACATATTTCATTGGCAATATATTAACTAAAACCAAAATCAAAACAAAGCATAAAATGCTTCTTGTTAAAGGCATAAGTGAGATAAATACCAAGCACCATTATTTCTATTCTGACAATCTCATAGATGAGTATGGAACATCAATAAAATAATGACTGGCAGAAAAACAATAAATAACTCAAAGAAAATCCTTCTCCTGTAACCTAAACAAGAACAAATAATGTAACAGAAATATGACCTAGAGAAATTTGGGGTTCCTCTGACAGTATATACGATGACTGCAGACTTCTGGGTTGTGCCAACAAGACTAAATGGTGTCACAATCCAGTCAACACCAACATGACCTACAAAAGTCATTCTTTTGTGTCATAAGCTTATAAATGCCTTGTTTTAGCTGCCACACCAACACACATAGAGAGTACCAACTTGATGGAACCCCTGAAACACCGACCCGATCTCGGCTCACTGAACGAGAGAAGAAACAAGCTACTTTGCCCATAGCCGTGTATGGCATTGACTTGGTGAGTACATTTTGTTTATCACTACTACTGTGTTCTGTCAAGTGAGGACACTCACAGAAGTTTCTAGGGGGAATCTGTCAGTATGAATATCAGAGTGAGATTTAATCCAAACATAAAGCACAAATGATACCCAATACACTGTGCCAATCTGTAACCCATTCAATTCAGATTTCTTAGGCATTTCTGAGACATCCCTCATGATCCAAAATCATCGCACATTTTTTTTTGTTTCTGCAGTTGATAGACCACCATCAAATAGTTTATCGCTCAGCTACTGATATCCATCATTACTTTCATAAACCATTCAGCAAATGTTTGGGACAACAAACTACAACTGTGAGACTTGATGTTTTCACAGCAGTGATGATGCTTCTCTTCTGGGTTTTGGCACCATGTAGACTCATCAGTAGATGAGTCTATGCAGCACTAAAACCCAGAAGAAGTACATCATCATAATTACAATCATTTAATGAAATTAACGAAATAAACAGCCCAGCTACTAGCCAATAAACGACCTACCTAACTCAATCATAATAATTTCCTTTAATTGACTACCTAATATCATGTGAGTTATATAAAGTTCCATGTATCTCATTAAGTAACAACTTGAGTTCATATATTTTCCTGTCATTATATTTTCAAAGACATGGAATATATGTTCTTTCTTGGTAGTAAAAGACCATACTTCCAAATATATAAAACAAAGGGAAACAAGACTGCTTAATGGTACATAATCTGATGAGCAGTAGAAAGTCTTATTAAATAAATACATCAATAAATGTAATTTTGTGGTTAAAGTTATGAAACATTAAACTCCTTACAGGTAGAGAAGTTCTATTCAAAACAGTATTCTGACAAGGAGGAGGGACTCCGGTTGCTCAAAGAAGAGCTACGTGCTCTTGTATCAGGGGATAGCAATTTATATCAACAGCACAACTCACCCAACAAAACTGCCCGTGCAGCTATCTTTCTGTTGCACCGAGCACTCAGAGACAAAGTATATGCAGTCTATAGCTTGGCAGCAGAAGCCATCAGGCTCTTCTTCATCGAGTTTGTGCCAACCAGGTAAAAAATGCCATGACAAGTAGAAAACTTCTAGATATTAACATACTTTAGGGCACCAAATCAACAAAAAGTAGTTATTTTCAGGCTGTGAGGAATTATATTTCACAGTCCTTAATACTGCTGCATTAATAATTAAAAATAATTATTAAACAACTAAATGATACATTAGAAATTCCATCATAAAACATAAAGGTTCAAGACTGACACTATTCAACCTCACTGTTAGGACCAATACCTGTCCAGTTCCAAACAATTCACGCATTAATATTTACCTTTGAAAGAGCGTCATTTCATCTATGCCTAGGTCTACTAAATGATATTTTCCCTTGTTGTTCCCCAATTCATATTCTGATTTTATGATTAACTGTTTTTGACAGAGTGACCCCAGCTGAGGTGGCTCGCAGTGTGGACCGTCTGCTTCCTGAGCTACTGTCCAAGTCAGGAGACCCAACACCCAGGATACATAACATGGCCGTCCACACAATTCTCAGTATGGCTGACTGTCGAGAAGTCAGGTTAACAAAAAAAATTTTTTTTCTTGTACTCTGATCCTTTGAATGAATCAAGATATATTACCATAAATATGATTATAATGCAACATACATATTTCTTAAATCACAAGATAAACAAATTGACATTTTAGTTAACTGCCCATATAAATACTGTAAATATTTCTATGTTATGTTAAAATCTGGTGGAAACATGCAAATTCTAGTTAAACTATGAAAGCAGAAGTGGAGTAACTCTATCCTTAAGGAAGTTCTAATGCTCTTTCTTTGTTTATGAGTAATGCATGAAAGTAATTTTATTCTTTGTCTCTTGCAAGTAATGCTAGATTAAACTTTGTAAAGGTTAAACTTGTTTTGTTCTTAATTTATTTTTTGGCTATAAGGCATACAAAAGTGTTTCAAGTTTTGTTTCTCCTTCTCATACGCTTTGTATTATAAATTTTGAAATATTTGCAGAAATTATTGTGTAATAGGAACATTTGCTTGCAGAGACCTTCATTTAATTCCAGTCCACCTCAGTCGGCCATTGACAAGTAGCACCCACCCCAGGTTAGCTCTGAGTCGGCTTGAGATGGTCGAACAACTTGTGCTCAATCATGGCATCTCCACTGAGAAGCAGAGGTAAGAAGAACCCTGATTCTAGAAATCAGTTTGACTATCTGCATTTAATTTATTATTGGAATTAAAATATGCGACAATATAACTATCACAGTTTTCGTTACCTTGGAGTCAGCCACAGAACAATAGTGAAGTGCATTATGGACTCTTAGGTGCAAGAGCTATAAACAGGGTAGATAATGATGAAAAATACATGAACAGGTATAAGTAAAGTCTGGGTGTAAGACAAAGAGACATTAGAACACATTCTGTCAAATGAATGCAAGGAAAAACACTGACAAACTCTGATGGGAAGATGATGTATAAAATAATTAACACTGCAAAGTGTCCTAAAATATTTAAGACATGACGCTATTTACAGAAATGTTAGACAGAAATAGAAAATTATTGTCAAGAAACGTTTATCAATTCCACTTGCAGGAAATAAGTACCAGTAGTCTAGCCTATTGTTTTCATTAGCACCCAGCCATGTTATCATACTAATTTTACTACTGACCCCACACACTAACTGCTCTCTACTGAGTAAATATAAAATTATAAAGCTCAGAATTGTTAAAAATGTGTACAAATAAAGTACAGTAACATGTGACTGCTCTGACTAGCATGTTGTTTCAGTGGTCTGACCTGCCGCGTGTTGTCAGAATTTGGGTCGTCAGGACTACATCATCCAGCAGAGGCAGTTCGTAAAGTAGCAGAACGCATTCTCACATTGGTATACAGGGTAAATCCACGACTTGTTCGAAAACAACTGCCACCTGATGATGACATCACAAGGCGGAACTTGCTGTACCGACAGCTCTTCCACGAATTTGACAGAATAGATATTCAGGTATAGATACAAAGTCTACCACATTTATACATCTCTACAAAAATCCAGTTCCACATTTGAAGCAGAAAACAAGGAGTCCTATCACACTAACATTTAATGTTGTAACTGCATAAATGACATCTCCCTCTACAGCTGGAAACATACACAAAAGAATTCAAGATCTTTTCGCAACACAATTGAAAACAGTTTTGACAACCTGGACATTCCATTCTACAGTACTACAATGGCATCTTGCATGCAGTTTCTGCTAAATTGAATTTGGTTTCTTTAACAGCGTAAGAAAGAAATCCTGGAGCGAAACAAACAGGCTGCTGTTGCTGCAGCAGCAGGATCTGTTGGTGAGGGTTCAGGGGGGCAGGGAAGCAGTTCCAGTTCAGCAAGTGCCATCACATCCCCCAGTGACACCTCACAGCAAGATGCACCAGATGACAAGTAAGTATTTACTGCTACATATCTTAAGTAATTTCTGTGATTACAAAAATGCCATGAAGGTATAAAGCTCCATGCATTACTGACCACAGAAATAGATGAAGTGAGAGTTTTGTAATTTCCCTTTGAAATATGTTTAATTCATGTATATTCAAATTCTATGAAATAGCATAATCATGTTGAACATATTTATAATTTCTTACAACTTGCTTTTCGATATCAGGATGTGCATCTTCTGCCTATCAAGGGCTGATTCATTTACTGAGGAAGGCCTAAATATCCATTACTGGCGCTCATGTCCCATGCTAATGAGATGCACACATTGCAAGCAAGTGGTGGAAATAGCCAGTCTCTCACAACATTTGCTAGGTAAGCATCAGAGATATGTCCAAAAAAGGTTGATTCAAAACTATGGCAAATATGCCACCAAACATTACAGACTTCTTGATGGTTTTCCTACTTTCTGTCTTCAAATTTCATTAACTTCTTAATCAACTAAATGTTTGAAAAAGAATAAAAATAAACAGAGGCAAATCTTGGGTTTCATAACATTCAAAAGATAAATTCATACAACTTTTCATAATATCTGTGAATGACAACCAGACAACTACAATGATTTTCCATACTGCAATAGTAAAGGCCAAATAATAATTAGTATTTCCCAAATAAACACAGCAAAACAAGTACAAATTGTAAGTAGGCATTTCAATACAAACCCAGTAACATTCTGAGTTAACAGAAAATTACATTGTACTAACTTTCCTTAACTGCAGAGGAGTGTGAAATGCGAGATTCATACCGCAAATGTGAGAGGTGTACTGAAGCAGTCCCCTATGAGCGTTTTGACCAGCACAAGTCTGATTCGTCATGCAATTGTAAGTACAGTACACAGACAAATTACATGACATCAAGAATTTGCATGGGGGTAGGGGGAGGGGGGGAGATGGTGTTCATTACTCAATTAGAACTGACACTGTTTATAGAATCAAGAGGTTTAGCACATTTAATACTTAATCACATCACTAAAATGATCCTGAGCTAGCTCAATCCAGTTCACATCATTACAATCCTCTTTGATTTCCGTTTTCATATAATTCCCCCAGCTCTCAGTCTTCCAAGACGACATCTTAAAAAGCTTCACCATCAGAATATTATAAGCATTTCTTTTTTGCTACTCCAGGTTAACTGTTTTTTGTTTATTCCAAAAATAAACAAAAAACGAAACACACAAATAAATATTATTAATGCTAAAAACACAGAAGTAATTTGAGATGCACGTTGTTATAATAGTAATTAGTCACTGAGGGTGACTATCTTCTCTGGTGTTCCACTTCAACATTTTCTTAAATTATAGGATGGCAATACCACAGTACCGTCAGACACAAAACGTACAATTTTAAGATTTTACTAAATAAAACTTAGCATTGGTTAACCCTAAAATAATGAATTATATTTCTGACAAGAATAGATTTGGAATGGGTAGATCAAATACCAATCAATTTGAAATGTTGGAAAGAAAGAGAGACTCAAGGAAATGCACAACTATTCAGTTAGGTTCAGTTCACATTATAAGGATATATTCTCAACAAATAAATGTGATCAACATGATCTATAATCCTGCAGATGTACTCACATTAAGCAGTAGTTTCATGATTTCAGCTGCTGAATCAGAATCAACAGCAAATCACTGTCCACTTTGTCACTGCAACATCCCTCCCTATGAGGATGGATGGAGACACCACCTTATAGGACTGCCATGTCCAAATCATCCACGTAAGAAGCACCTAAAAAACCGTAAGTAAAATGCTATGTTAACCATTCAAAGAGCCAAGTTCATCTTACTGGTATTCAAAATTCCAATCTCTACATATATTACCACTCATGATGTTCAGAAAAATTCTTTTCTGAGAACTAAATATAATCCATAAATATGACCTGTGAGCAAAATGCTGAGTTACTGAATGTTAAATTGGTCAGTATGCATGGCCACTGCTATACAGAATAGGTGTAGATATTGAAAATACATACAATGACCAAAGAATAAACTAAAATGCATAATATAAACTAACATCAAATCTTAGTAACAATATAAAGAGCCATGAATCTGTGTCAAAAAAATCATCTTGGCCAGATTGCATGAATTAAAATTCTAGTGCAATTTGTTACCACTAAATTTTAAGTCAACCGCCTAAATTTTAAGAGAAAATAATAAAAATGGTTTTCACAATTCTGCTTCAGTAAAAATATGTAACTGGGTGAATTTCTAAACATTAAGAACCAATCGCTTTAAGTGTGTGCAATAAAATGCTATTTTCTAGACTGTAAACAAGAAAAATGGTGAAATGTTAAATTTGTAAGATAAGAACAGGACACATAAAAATATTTTCATCTTTTCAGGTTCCAAATCACCGTCCACTGATCTCAAGGATCTACCAGCTGCACAATCCACATCATTAGCTCACAAATCACCATACTGACATAATCATTTTCACACAGTTGAATAAGACTACTGTTGCGTCCTCTGTAGCCTCAGAATTAGTACAAGTCAATGGAAAAGCAAAATATCTTCCTATTTAATGAAAGCAATGACCAATTTTCAAAACTGTAACAAGTTCTTCCATCTGTATACAAAGGCACTGTATAATTGCAGCCAATAATAAAACACCATCATTATTAAAAGTTCAGCAATCTGATGATGCATATGTACTGTAACCTATAAGAAGGCACTAACAAGGTCACTCTTGCATTGATTTGATTATCTTTTGCTTTTCGGTTTGTATGTATAACAATTACTTTTTATTATTTTAAGTTTCAAGTCAGTATAATGTAGAATTTGAGGCAGCAATGTCAACACAGATGGATGTCTTCTGGGTTCTTGTACCACTGGCATACAGCTAAAATACTACGCATCATAATTACCCAAAAGGCCACCATCTGTAAGTCAGTATACTTCCTGTCAATGGTCCTATATGGTACCAACAGCTCACATAACTTAGTCAAATGCATCTAGATGCAAGATATTAATATGAACAATGTAAATATAAATTGATATTCATATTGACTGTCACGTAAGTTGTTTTCTAGTTGTTTCAGACATAAATACTTCAACCATGAAGCTTAAGGTTTGAGCTTAAAGTAATGTTATAAATTATTAATGTGTAAAAGAGTGGACTTTAATGAATCCAAATGAAGAAATATTTTTAAATGTTTGGCAAAATGTCAAATCTTAATTGTTCACACCATCTGAACTGTAATGTGTATTTCAAAAACAGCATGTCTGTTGGTTTAAACATTTTGTGTTTATAATTGTGTTAACTTTGAAGAAGACACAGAGCAGGAAGTAGTATTTTGATCAACAAATAAACATGAAGGTAACTGTATTTCCTTTCTCTAGAGACAAATAAGCCTGCTCTGAAATGTAACATACACAATACATACCCCGTGCAGTAAACTTCATCTGACACACGAATTCAATCCCGATACTTTTTGATAAGACCTCATCTGCATAGTCATCAATTTAGGTCTACCCTATGTTCACTAAGATTCCCATCCACATTTACCGCATTCATATACATGTCTTTTTCAACCTTGCTTATTTAATAACCTTAATAATATTAGACAAAGACCAAACAGCAAAAGGTTCTTCAGTATATCATTTTCAAATCTGTCTATTTGTCTTACAATTTTAATGGCATTCTTTTAGAACTCAACTTACATTTGTAAACATTAAGGTATAAACATTACATTTTAAAACGTGGGGAAAAAAGTTATGCAAGCAATGGATCGTACTTGTAACCTGCTTACCAAATAAATCACTAAGTAATCAACTGAATGACTGCTCTGTTTTCACTGTAGCTAATGACAGCATTCCTAGTACTGACTTACACTTAAGATCTTATAAAAAAACTGTAGCTCATTATTTAAGGAGTAAAAGTCAAATTGAAAAGAAACAAGACTGGCAAAGGCTGTGACATTTAGATCAAATGTAATATTTAATTTTGACAGCACAGAAAGGACATCCATAACAGCCACCAATAATATTATGTCTTGTAATACAAGGTTATGTTTTACTGACTTGACTTATTTCCCATAAATGTACAATCACATATGTAATTTGTAAACATTATTTTATGCCAACTGGTTAGAAGATAAAGAACACATACCCAAATTAAGAGCCCAGAAAAACACTGCAAACAGAAGACACCACCACACTTGACAAAAACTACAAGGCTTCTGATATTTGAAACAGATGGCATTAGCATCAGACATCTATCATGTGATCAAATTCCAGTGGTTAATGTGAATCAAGTAATCTGGACTACAATAATTAGGTATCTACTGTTAAATTGCAAATTTTGAACTCTGAACTGATAAAGCAAAATCAATCCAAATACACCAACTTTACGATGGTGGCAATTCATAATTTTCATTCTGTAATTGTTATGTCACTTTTTTCTTTTTTATGTTATTTAAAATACTGCCTATTTGTACAGTGAAACTAAGGCTCCTTGCAACAAAAAGTGAGGATTACTTAACATTTATTCAGTATTCAATGCTTAACTAATTTTATGGCTACAATCAGAATATATTAAGATAAAAGCAAATTCTTCAATAAAATATGGTAATACATACCTGTTTTAATGTGTGATCTTCAAGTATGAAAAAAAAACTGAAGCAGACCTGAAGCAGCAGATGAAATTCTTAAAAATGATTGTAAGTCGTGCTGTGAGCTATTGCCAATAAATGCAGTAGTTCATGGAAATTTCTGTAGGTGACACTAGAATACCATATGACTAGCAGTGGTGGCATGTGACCATTTCAAAAGTGTTGGCCAAATCCTGATACGTGGGTTGTGAACATTTGGGTAATTGAATATATACATCACACTTCCTCTTCCATGATGCACAATCACAAATCACACCATGGCACACATAAACAAAAAGAAACTGTCTTTCACAGTGTTCGCTGTGCTAACACAGTTAACATGAACTCTCCGCCCATAGTTACTAGTGAAACTGTAGAAACACAGTTTGTATGGGATGACAATAAGCAACTTGGCTCATTTCTGGAACTGTAGATACATGAAAACTTAAATTCTGGGATAATAAATATCCATGACCATTTTATAAGGGAGACAATACTACGACTAAGAAATTACAGTATGGGTTGTCACATCAAAATTTTTTGTTTTAAAAAAGAGTCCACTCTTTTTTGACAAACATTCGTCTGTAATCATTATTTCCTACTGAAATCCCAATTAACACTCAGCAGTACATGGAACAAAGACCCAAACAACAACTGTAAAGTCATAGGAATTATTAAGGGTGATAACAAGACAGGTTAAGTATGGTATGTAGCACACATAAGGGGGAAACAATAAACACGCAATATTTTGCAAGCAAAGATCTATTGCATGGCAAGATATCTATTACATTTACAGAGCATGAAAATATGATTCTAACACAATCTTACATAAACGTTTTGTACAGATGAAACTGGATTCAGCTAAATCAAGACAGGATCTGACTGGACTTTCTTCAAAAATGGTGACAAAGCTTTGTGTCTAATAACAGTAAAAGTGTTAGAGAGAAGATAGCGATCTTCTCACTGCCGTGAAAACCTCAAGTCCTACTTAGGAAATCTCTTGTTCAGGCAAATTCATCTGTTCAAAGCAGCAACAGAAATAAATGCAATAATTGAACCTGCTATTACATCAAATAACTTGTAATCATCTGTTCAAAGATATTTTCCCTAACTGCTTGGGCTGTCTGGATTTTGTAACATAAAAGAAGCAAATGTTAAAAACATTTTAAAAAACCTATATCTGATAAAATAAAATACAAATCTTGTAACATTATTCCTCAGTGTGCATAGAAACAAAATATATCGCTGAGAATGAAGGAATAATATCGTCACAATGCTGACGCAAGACTATCGTCAGCATATCCAACCAGGGAATGCAGAGCCACAATAATCTCGCTACTTTGTGTAAGATCTTCTCTTACACAACCACCACCACCACAAACTGTCATGTCCTGTAAGATGGTATCTGCTATGTTGGTGCATCATGCCCACTGACTTTCTCTTGTACAGCATTCTCTTCTTCCTCCTCTTCTCTCTTTTCATCTTTAACATCAGTTTCATTATCCATAGTAGTCTTGTCACTATTCTTCTCATCAGGAACTGATGGGTTTTTAATAAATTTGTTCTTTTCTGTAAAGTACAAGGAGAAATGCTTCATATTTGAAAGATAAATGGTCTGAGTTTCAGCACGGAAGCTGGATATCCAGCCTATTTTCTATGGGTGCGAAACTCTCTCTTTTTCTCACATTAGGAAAGAACACAGAATGAGGGTGTTCGGGAACAAGAGTTCTGGGGACAGTATTTGAACTAAGAGTTATGAAGTCATATGAGGGTGAAGAGAATTGTATAATGAGGAGCTCAATAATTTGTAATTTTCATAAAATATTGTTAGGATGATCAAATCATGGATGACGAGATGGGTATGCAAAATACATGAAACAAACAATTGCACACAAAGGTTTGGTTGGAAAATCTGAAGGGAATAGACCATTTGGAAGACCTAAGCACAGATGGGAAGAAACTTGGAGATTAAGGAAATAGGGTGGGAAGGTGTGGACTGGATTCATCTGGCTCAGAACAGAGACCACTGATGAGCTCTTGTTAAAGACCATTGGTGTTCTATAAAAGGTGGGGAATTTTATTAGCTGAGTGGCTCAAAGCTTCTCAAAGACTGTGTTCCATGGATGACTGGATCATCAGTCCTGACTTCACTGCTGCACAGATTGCTGCCTACATGGAATATCTTGGGTTCAGTCAACTAAGCCAATGTATGGAAGACTTAAGTTAGCTCAGCCTCTCCATCAATGCTCATACTGAGTACATTCCTCCTGTGTCAGGCTGCCCATGGCAGATACACTTCTATGTCTACTAGATCTTGAAAGACAAATGAAAAGGGCTGACAAAACAGATTTACGATATAAATAAATATTTGACCAATACACATACCATAATGATCGAAAACACATGAAGGTATTACATTTTAAATTTTGGAGTGATCAAAGTATATTGTGAAAGGCTCCTTTTCCACTGCCTTACTTAAATGTCATGTTTGAGTCAACCAACTAAAAAAGGCCTTGTTTATAAGAAACATGGTGCAGCAGTTGTAGGTGAAGTGGGCATTAGTGCATAAGACACTTTATACTGTACATCTTACTCTTTGTGTAACTACTAGCATGTAACAATTACAACTACATGGTATCATAATACTCACCATACTTAGAGACATCGGCACCACAGAGCCGCAGGTAATGTACACAGTCACTGACAGATACATATGCCCTCATGGATTTAGCTCCACGCCAACCCACCATTACCAATGACAGAGGCAGAATGCCTCCATCAGAACAAGAGCTGTCTTCCACTTGATACACGAACACACAGCTGCCTTGTGCTGTGACACATGTTCAATACAGATCTATGAATTTAATTTATACAATCAAAACTTTCACGGTCAGTCAGATTAAAAAATTTCCTGCGGACTTATCGCAACTAAACAATTCTATTAAATGAATGTAAGCAGGACAGAATATCTCAACATATATATGCAGGCTTCAGCCTATCTACTAAAATGTCAATGTACTCATCTCAAAACCTTTTAAAGCTACCTCATAAATGTTTAATTGTCAAATGTACCTTAATGTTTGTACACCTCATAGCAGAAACATAAAACATCTGATGCTCAAATGACAAACTGAAATTAAAAACAATGTAATGTGCCACTGCTCCATATTAACAGCTTTTTTGTGTAAGCTCATGTCAGCACCCCTCACCTATGTCTTTCAACTGTTGCTGTGTAGAAGGATCCAAGCTGCTAGCCTCAGGTGGAAACTTGGGGTCATCATTTGTAAGAAGCTTGATCAGGTCTGCCTTGGATACAGAAATCTTTCGTTTTGGTCCAATGTATGGGAATATGCTATGCAAACCCTGTGAAGAAAATGGTATTCTTAACCAACTCCATGAAGCAGCCCTTCTTCAGAAGCAAACAGTACGTTCAGCTTCTCTGCACCAACTGAACATACTGTCAACTTCTGAAGAAATACTATGCTCCATGGAGTTTGTTATTACAATTTACGACTACATTACTCCGGAACATTATCAGTTTAGAACCACGATTATTCTCACCTCTTGTGCTAACCTGAAGGCACATTGCATGGACTTGTTATCACAGCGAACAAAGCTCTTCACACCAGTATTTATCAGCTGTAACAATTCCATTAAAAGTTTTTAAGTATCGGTAATAAGTAGTTACAAACACTTTCACAACTAAGGTCAATCATACCTCTATATATAAATATAACCATTCCCATCTCTTTAGTGGTTAGGGTAAGAATTAATCATGCCAGGCTGCCATTCAGGAGGAGTCATGGAGTATTCTAAAAACATTCAGATGCCACATAAACATTCCAAAGAACATATTGATTTACCTTGATTGTCTGATGGTTATTGACAACAATATCATGAACTGCAGGAGATGTGAAGTAGATATTCTTTTTCTTACCCTCTTTACAGCGTGTCAGCAGACAGGTTGGACTTAGAAGAGAGTTAATATCATAGAAATCCCTGTAAATAATACACCGCAATTAATGAGAAGGCATGCAGCCTTGTTCACCTTTAATCCCACATGACCTTATTTTGAAGGCCTATGCTTTAGTGAGGGAAGCAGTCAAATGTTCTTTTTATATTATGACTTTTAATTACATGACCTTATGAGGGGAATGGACAAAAGTGCATAATAAGGAACTTCAAATCAAAATATGAAAACAGAGGTAATGCAGAAGGGAATTTTAACACAGATGTGGGGACATCAAACAATACATACACGATTGAGGTTGGAAATCCACCATTTCATAGACTGAGAATTATACAGAAAGATAATATTATAATCAATCTTGTGGCAATGTTACCCTCACAATGAGGCAGTAAGTACCTCTGAAATGTCAGTCAAATTGCACCATACTACATGGCAGAAGACAATCATCTTCATGTATTAAAATATTGAAACTATAGTTTCTCCCACCTTGTAAGTTCACATGGTTGTTATATGTATATTATTGAAGGCACAGAATTAAAAGTATAAAGATGGCACTATGTCCAATGACATCATATGAAGTTCCATGAAATTACACACTTTTGCTCAATTTCATATTAGCAGACAATTTTCATGGTCTGTTCAAGTATAGTTCAGTGATGTTCCACGATGTTGACTGTGTAGGTGTACAAAGGTTATAATTCTTTTCCTCCAGATTTCTTAGAACAATTATACTCCAAACCTTAGGGCATGACTGTGCAGTTCAGTATACTTCTCGTCCTCTATTTAATGATATACTACTTTCTCCCACCACAGACATAAGTTATGTGACTTTCAGATCTGGAATCCAATGCATAGGATACATTTCCAACAGTTTGGATACCTGATAGATGGCCAGAGTGGTTCACCCTCTGTAAAGAACACGAACGGATCTTCCCTGTAGCCATGGATTCGTCTTCTTTTTCTCTGTAGTCCCCAGGGAACCTTATCCTCACTGCTACTGCCAACAGCATCCATCCCACTGTCATCTCTTCCTACCTTCTCACCCTCTGCAGGCAAGGTTTTGGCAGCTGCCTCCCACGGAAGTGGCCGCAGTTTTTCTATCACAGCTACAAAGAAGCCCCCTGTATCTTGTTGGTGAGGCAAGATTCGGATACTAAGGAGGTAGAAAAATGTTTCAACAATAGTTTTATGAACGTGATTTTGTATTCAGACCTTTAATATTCTGAACCATTTATCAACAATGAAATTCCTATTTCTCTCAGTGAGAGTGGATTTCAATATAAAACTGAGGAAACCCCTAAACAGAGAAAATTTAACACTGAAATTCTGGGGATACGGTCATAGAAAATTAACGTTAATGTATAACCACATGGGAATTCAACTGCATGTAAGAGTATGTGAAAACATATGGCAGAAAAGTAAGTCTGTGAACAGTCCTCATAACAAATAAAAGTAATCCTAGTAAAATTTTAGAAATGTCAGCAACACTATACTGACTACTGAGTTGCCAGGAATTAAGACCAGTATTAGTCATGTTTAAGATTTTTTATAAACTGTACCTTATGGAAGCTGGCAGAGTAACATGGTACTATCAGATTAAAAGAAAATAATGAAGACTCCAAGGTCACCCAAAAAATGGAGATTCAAAGAAGAAAATCTTACAACAGTATACCAATTTAACTGGGGGCTCCCAAATTTTAATTATTGAATAATGACGTTCAGGAGCCAATGATCTAAAGAAAGTAAATCTTTTATTCTTTCAGAATCTTATTTTCTCTGAGAGTACTGCCACAGATCTACTTCTTTCATCTCAACAATAATATAATCACCATCTCTCTAGGTTGAACTTTCCCACATCTTCAGGTGCAGGAGGGAACATCTGTGGTCGAATTTGTGTGTGCCATTTTTCTGGAACATCATTATAAGTGGCGTACCCAACCATATCACGGGATGTTGGAATCCAATGAGCTAACCCCTTTCTATACTTCAAGCCAGGGAGTTGGGATGAAACATCTACTAGCTGTACTGCACCTAATTATGAGATTAAATAAGGCGTTACTATTACAGTAAAGCAAATTATTTGAATTAATTGAAGTCATATTTGATATGCTAAAAAACTGATGATACTGTGAAGGAGCTGTTTAGGAAACCTAGAAGACAAGTTTCTCTCCTGCACTAATGCCAAAATCACCTTCACATAGCCAACCTTGTTTTCCCAAACAAGACTGGTGACAAAATTATAGCTGTGTAATCATTATAACTGGTGCTTGCAAAGTGACACTATGACGATTTAGGGTAAGTAACTTTAACTTTTATTTCCAAGATTACGTTTGATTTGTTAGCAACTGCAAATAACCAATACTGTAAAGTGAATTTTAACTCAATATTCTAAATCAGACAACCAATATAAAGGTCAAATGTCTCAGGAGGAAGAAGAAGAATATATAGCATCGTCATCTCCCAGAGAAATTTCCTCTTTGTGTGGCTGGTCTAAACAAGAAAGCTGGAACTTACTACATAACAGCCACATTGATTTCATAAGCAACTTACCTTCTGTTTTCACAAGGAAGCGATGTATCACAGCCTCATTCTCAAGTGGGTTAAATGAACAGGTAGAGTACACAAGGCGTCCTCCAACTGACAGCATCTCAACACCACGACGCAAAATTCGGAACTGGATACTTCAACGCATAACAGATAATTTTCATCAGTGACCAAACTTTATAAGTGTTATTAAATTATACTGTGGATAATATTAGAAAATATTATGATGCAAAATAAAAACACCTACCAAGACATAAATACGTTCACAGTAATTAGGTATATTATATTATATACATTTGTGTGAAGATAGCTAATAATATTTTCTAATTTTAAAAGAAAAATGGCACTACAGTACATACTTTTTATGTAAATGAGAAAGAAACTAACTGACCTACCAGCTCTGAAGTAAAGACTTTTCCAGTGTAGTCACTAGTGTCAACAATACTGCAAGTACAAATCAGTCGCTAAGTGATACCAAATTAAAATTGTATTAGACATACATCATGTGAGGAAACACTAAGTGTGAAGTACCACTAATGAAATAAAGATGTAGTTTTACCCATGCAGATTGTTGCCATTTGCAGTATTCCACTTCAACCAAATGTCAGGGTTCTTCCGCAGTGTGCCATCTCCTGAGCACGGTACATCACACAGCACTCGGTCAAACTTCAGCATCACCGGAGAACCATCTTCCAAAGAAAACCACTCACAATTAAAATGTGAAAACAGACATCATACGCTTCCTGCATTTATGCAATTTTATGCAGCAGAAGCTCCATATCATTAACCTATCTTCTAAAAACACCTCAGCACAGTAAAGAAAATACTGGGTCCTGATAAGACACATCCTAAAAAAAATAACAGACTTTGAAACTGTATCTGAATGCTCCTACAACAAAATAAATAAAACTTTCTTCTCCATTGCATTATTTCCAAACTGATCAATCTGGTGAAGGAAAGACGTTATAGCTGTCAAGAGTCTCCTGTTTTAAAATACTGCCAATAAATTTCTGTGTAGTCCTAATTTTAAAATCCCCAGACTGTATACATATAAAGACAGACTAATTTTCATGTCTGGAAAAATTAATCTATTTTATCAAATCAAAGTTCAAAATACTAAGGAATGCTGACAAGCTGTAACTCCTCTATTTGTTTATAGCACAACATATTTTGGCAGGAACAGCAACTCAACTGCAGTATCACTACAGAATACCCAAATTTTATTTTAGATTTTAGGAAGGAAAACAAAACCGAGATTATGGTGTGGTAAAAATTAAAATCCCCACTTAATGGTACCTGCACCTTGTCGTGGTGGTGGGGCTTGAGTACCTCAGTGACCCCAAGAGCTACTGGTAGGACCTCCCTAGCCAGATTGGTCGAGGGGGAAAGGTCAGACTAAGACAGGTACCCTGGTCCTCCAGGTTGGGGGTTGGTCACAAGGCTAACAACCTTGCACGGTAAAAGGAAAGATGTTTCGAAACCTCCATCAAAGCCTCGGACAGACGGACCTTACAGAGGACCGAATGGAAGAGGAGAATTGAGGAGGCCATGGACTGAATACGGACCGGACAGCCATAGAAGAAGAAGAAGAAAAATTAAAATATATAAACGGGATACCTGAGAAATGAACTTTCAAGTTGTTAACATTTAATGCAATATAATGGTAGCAAACAAAGCAATATACAAACATGTACAACTTAGGTTACTGGGGATGAGCTGCATTGAATGCCGAAAATTATTCAATATTTCAGCAAACATTGCAGTTACCATCTTCAGGATGAGTATGTAATGGTCGGGCATTTTTAGCAGCCTTACATAAGGCAGGCAGTAGCTGGAGAGTTGGAATGATGGTGCTGACTGATGGAGCGGAACAGCAAGCTGTTATCCAACAGGAGATGACATGTGGCTGGCAAAAGTAAGTGATGAAATCTTGTTAAAGGAATACGTAGTGAAGAGGAGAAGTGACAAAAGAAGTACTGGTGACCATGTGAACCAAATAAGAGTTTTCAGGAACTATAAGGTTTGAAAAAGATTTGACGGGGAATGGTCCGGACATGTTCGTTAATATGTAAATATACATACCTGTGCCAGTAACAGTAAAATTTGGCATCACAGCTGAGTCATGGTTTGTGATCACAATACAGGGTGAGTTTAACCGCTTGGCCTGATGAACCAACATGTAGCAACGATTGTTATCTATATCATTTGCTATCAAAAAACCAGCTGCAAACAGCAAGGCAAACATCTTATAAAGGAAAGAATTAAGAATACCTAAACTGAAACATTTAGATTTTGATAAAAATACCTCATGGAAAAAATAATATTTAATATATGCAAAACCTTCCACGTAGTGTCAACAGATATCAGACCCTTCCAGGAAAACGATTGCTGCAAAAAAGGATATGCAAGCTGTGAAGTCTTAACTCCTAGTAATGTGAGTTCTTTGGAAAGGAACTGCTGGTGTGTCCTGTATTATTACAAACTCCACAGTTACACACTTAATTTTCCTTCAGATTCTCATCCATTCTGAATAAGAATAACAGAGAGATGCAAAAAAGGGCTGTGGAAACTGAATCCAAGTTCACAAATTTGGTTTACAGTTTTTGTAACGCGTGTCAGTTTATGTACTGACCACTTACTTTAATGAAATGCTGATAATAATTCTGTAACCTAACAATAAGAAAGATATTAAAATATTGTTAATTATGTGTTAATAAGCTATATTTTACTTCTTTACATTCACAACTGAGCCTGGGTCATGAAATTAATATTTTTTATCAATTCCTACAAATACTGGTGCAGCACCAAGTATCAAGGTCTAATGTACTGGTCTCATAAAAGAAGAAGATAAATTAAATTAAAAAAATCCTCAATCAGAAAACAGGTCTAAACACAGAAATAAATGCAAGGCAGGCATACTGCATTGTACTGAATGCACTTATTAGATTATGAACGTACTGGGCAATCTGCCATCTTCAGCATGCAGTAACTCAATCAGTTGAGCAGTCTTTGAACCAGGTGCTGCGCACATATCCAAGATCTGGTGAAAACAAAAATAAAGTCATTGATTACAGTAGTAACAACATTACAAACGAACAGAGGAAGACACACATAACTGGGTTAATTTCCAGTATACAAACACATCCTGTCATTTGTATGCAATCTATCAGATTTTCACCATAGACTAAACACTATAGACACTATCCATCACAAGAGTACAACATATTAAATTCTTATGAAGATTTAGGAGAGCCTATTTAAACCAATTTTTTAGCAAATCCTTATAACCAGTTTACCTTATGATGTGGTTTAACATCCAGCAGAAGTGGTGGGATCATACTAACAGCCTCCTGTCGACTAATGTTGCCACACTCCGTCTCCGATATGAGGAAGTTGTGAAGACGAAAATAAGCTTCCGAGCGGCGGATGTCCTTTCGAGTCAACTGCAACTGCCATGCTAATCCATCTGGGTACCTGCCAATACTTGGCATTAAATACTTTGCTCATAAAATACAAAGCAAATATATAAATTATTTCTTACATGGTTTTGAATTTCCCAACATGTGAATTAAACAAGGCAGTATCTGTTGGTGTACAAGATGCACAATCTATCAAATGAATGTACCATCACCTCTCAGAGTACTGAATTCAGAAAGTTCAGCCTTTCCTGGTACACATTTCATGAGCTCAATGCGGTTATATCATGAATCATCAATGTAAAAGAAGCAAGGTTATTTTAGAGGGAATTTGTATTGGAAAAAATGTGTCTTACAAACCAATAAATACCATATATCCCTGTAAAATAACATATGTGGCATATAAGCAAGAAGACCACCATGTACCTTCAGTTATGTAACTGAAACAAAATTATACTGAATCATAATGAATCAAAATTTTAGTTACACAAACACGCATAGATACTATTATTACAAACTACGTGTACTTCATCTCTCTGGAATTAAAAGCTTTCCTCAGTACTCCATTTTCAAACACTTGCAATTCATGTTCTTCCCTCAGAAAAACAAACTATATTTCATCTGTAAAAATGTGTAATAGTTTGTTTTGACACTAAAGGTTTAAAGTATGAAACCATAAGAAAGTCATTCCAACTGCAAAAAAATATCTCACCATGGTAAACAAATGGGTTTCTGCTGTCCTTCCATTTCATCTTTTTTCTGGCTATCATCATCTTGTTGCAAATGATTTAAAAGACAATCTTTGAAGAATTTCCCTTTAACAATTCCCAGTAGAGCTCTTGCTTCTGATTTTGATCCAGTTATACGAAATGCTGTTGGTAAATTTTCTTTAATTGCTGCCATAAAACATCCCCATTCTTCATCTGGGCAGATTTGTTGTGACTGGTTACAAAACATGTTATAACGTTAATAATGAGTAATTTACTTAATACAACTGGTCATGTATGAATAACAATATAAAGCATGCAAATATTACAACTATATATCAGATATATACCTACTACCAGTACAAAACTAGTTAGAGAATTTTAATATGCTTCCTACACCCAACACAAAGCAATTAAAGTGTTGTCAGAACCAAAATGTATTGAAATAACACAAAGGGTATATGAAAAAAAAAATCCCTTCTTTCAGCTCCACATCCACCATCAACTTATTATGTACTGAAACCATCAAATTCAATATTTCGGCAGAATGCACACAGAAAATTTCGATTAGAATGCAAACTACATCTTGGTTCCCTTACAACAGATTCTGACTATATAGTGCTCCTTTCTGGAACATGGTTTGGTGTAGTTTGGTTTCATACTAAAATAAAATACTTAAGCTATCTCATTTTCGTCCTGGCTTGAATTTCTATAAAAATTAAAATAATTTACCTTGTAATACTGTTCAAATTCTGAATTTTCTCGTACAATCTCTTCATATGGGCGCCTTGGTGCTTTGTCATCCCATTTATTCTGAAACACATGAAACCAATGTGCAAGATATTTCAAGCAGTTAGTAACACCAAAGCTGACAGCTTAAAATAATATAACAGAACCGTCAGCACATTCGGGATTCATTTATTAACATAAATATAAACACCAGTACTATATGATTAAAATGTGGGCTTATACAGTATATCCCAATACTCTTCATAACCTCCAATTCAACGGCGTATGTTTTGAACATTCAAGCCACGAATAAATACTAATATAACAAAGCATATTAACGAACCTCTCTAGCTCGCCTCCTTTGAGCGAATTTTCTCTCTTTACTCCTAAAAGTTCTACCCCTTCCCATTGTCCTGGCCACAATATCTATTTTTTCTTTTTGGTAAGCTGGACAGAATACTGTTAATCAGCCACTAGACACACAAACACGTGGTCATAGTGTTCTTATTCTTACTAACATGCAGTTCGAGGCATTCAATCCACCTTATCGATAGTTCCCCCTTTGACCACCAGACCACAGTACATCAATGTCTACTTCACTCTTCTTATCCGTCAGTTTATTACTGCTCGTAGGATAAAATACAATTTTGAGGTTATGCATAATAACACAACCTACATTCCAAACTTAATCCGAATCCGTCCACAAGTTCTCGAATAGAATCGACTGGACAGACGATGGACATACAGCTCATAATACGTTCTTCGTATGCGGCGTGCAAGAACGACATAACATACACTGCTATAACCACATACGATTACATTCATAAATAACCATTTGCCCTTCATTCTACCTGCACGTTACTAAATTTAATACGAAAATATTCATCTATTGCTGCCAATACCTGCATTCCAAAAACTTTAAAATTCTATGTCCCAACTATTTACTGGATGTAGTCCGAACAGTAATAAAATTGTGGTTATTGCCGTATGCCCGTTTATATGTTAGGCCCAGGAATTTATAATTTAACTAGTTCACCTATTAAGAGGGTCAATGTATTTCCAAAGTCTAATTTAAATCACATGAACACAGCATGTGGTGAAGTACCAACATTACAAGACTATTTAGAGTGTTGCAAATAAATCTTTTACATTATAATTTTAATATATTAATTACACATTTCAATGTACAGGTGATACAAATACGCTTTGTAGTGGTTAGTTACTGTAGTTTGTATTAAACATCAGTGGTCAATGAAGATAATTACATAAGGACAACACATGTCGCTTCAGTGCCTGCATAAACTTCCTCGAATTTCACTGTGAATGACTGATACAGCATTGTTTTAGAGACAGTTGAACAAAGCACAATACGATGCTTACTTATAAATTAACCGAACCTAACAAAACCTTTGCCTATCTAAATGAATTTTGGTATGTACATTACGCCATAGATCAGCGTTTCACAACCTATGGTATGCATACCACTGGTGTTAAATTAGAATTAGTGGTATGCCAGTGAAAAAGGGTGAGAACCCCTGCTATAGATGACAACTCATACTTTGTCTTCCTGCACACGGAAATACCAACATGATGGTTGCTTTAAGACATTAGATGGAATTACATCACCATTATTCAAAGCATCAAAGATTTTAAAATATTTTCTCAAAAATCCAATTTCAATAATTTCAAATCTAAATGTTAGAGAGGAAGGTGGGAGTACATGACAATGATATGTGAACAAGAATAAACACAGCAACACAATGAATATTGGCATACTGAGCTCTATAGTTACGTAAGAGAAAATGGAGATTCCCATGACAAGCAAACCCAGTCAATAAAATGTATAATCTTCCATGTTCTTTATGTGCTCTGGTATTTATAAATTCTCTGTGTAAAAAGAACATGAAATGAATGCATAATGAAAAGTCCACTGGTCCATCCATATATCTATCCACATTTCACATAAAGAAAACTATGAGGTTATTTTGTTTACTACAGAACTGAGCACCGTAGAACAGAGAACATGACTAGTTTCTACTATGTGGCAATGTTCCCATCCACTCAGCAATAATAAATAAAAAAATAGATAAAAATTACAAAAATACAAAACCACCCTTTACCAAACAGATTTTGATCAAAATTGGTGCTGACAGGCAACAGTAAATCTGCATGGTGAATTTTATTTGGTTTGTACCAGCTAAAGCCTACTTCAAAAAAGTTTCAATTTGAACTTTGTAAAATTTTGGGAAATTAATCCAGAAAATATAGAATAATTAGTCATTACTTATATTTTAGTACTTTTTCAACATGGTTTGAATTCAACAAAATGCAAGGCAGATATAATGGATGACTGTGGACATATCTCTACTCTTATCTTTGTCAACAACAGGCTTTGAGACAGTGCAGATTAGTAACCTGAATACCTACTCACTCCGTCAACATTACATGTCTTTGCAATAAACGAACATCATAACCAAGGTTACTCCATGTCCAGTCTTGTTCACATCATTCATAATTTGACATTAAATACATATACGGGACAAAGGGAATATTTAATTCACAATAACAGTCACTTGTACAAAATATGACTTCCTCTTCTATCTCCTGAAACATACATGTTGCACACAACATGTTCATATTCCAATAACTTAGAAAAATTCACTGAAAAATATCCTGACTTGTTTTTACCATAGCCAAGCCAACAGAACATGACTGGCCTCTAGTTTTGTAATACAATACCTAACACAAGTGCCATGGGCTCAGGTTAACTTTCAAGTTGAATGAAAACAAACGCCAGAAACGTGGCATTATAACAGTGAACCTGAAAAACAGTATAAAATAATAACGTTCAAAGCAAAGTAAAGTAGCCCTCAAAATGAAGTCTACAGATCACATGTGTTTCAACAGCTGAAGTTACTCTATACAACCGCACAGTATACAATTCTACTCTTAAATGAACACACAAAATCACTGCAATTTTTCATCACAATTTTCAGACACAAATGTATATACATATTATCATTTTAGAATAGTTGCATGCAAATCTTATATCATAGTTATTAAAAACATAGTCAAGTTATTCTGTTTTGGTTTTTTTATATGATGAGAGGGAAAAAAATTTCCCAACACATTCCATTTGGTTAGTTTAATTTCAAAGCATTCACTCTTCTCTCTGCTAATGTAAAGCATGGCAGGTTGTTCACAAAAACACTTTAACAACCCCCCCTCCCGACAAAAAAATGTATAAGATATATTATATGTATTTAAATTAACTACTGAGATCCACACATTAAAGTATGAGAAATTCTCATATGCACAAAACAGTAGACTCCAATCATCTGGGTATATTAAGTGACAAGTCTATCTGAACAGTCTTTTAACCCACATTTGTGATGTACATCCAGTCTGTGGGATGCCACTCATCTCCAGCCTATATGAAGTTGGTGGTCTACAACTACAGTAAACTCATACTACGCTACAAGTTATACTCATTTCACAGAAACGAATCCAGCAAGATACCAAGAATAAAAATGCCTCCCGGTTCTGAACTGTGAAGCCCTGATCCACACAGAACCTACGTACACCTTCAAACAAATATGGCATAACAATGGTACTTGGAGTTTGCTTTTTCTCAGTCACCAACACCACTTTCATGTATGATGAAATTATTGACAATTATTAGCAAAATGGTCCCTTTAAAACAAAAAGTAATATTTTTAACATGGGATGCCATTTAATGTGACATGTTTCATGGGAAAATTAAAGAAGTCACTTTCAACATAAATATTGACTGTTATCCTTAGTATTAAGTAACAAAAGACATTATTACTCTATTGATTTCAAACAATAAGCAAGATAATTATTCAGCTATGGTTGGCATCTTTATATGTGTATGTATCTTACAAAGCTTTCACTGTGCACAAATATGTCACACTAACAAATGGCAAACCAGAGAATTCATCAAAACTTATTATTGTAAGAGATATAAAATGAAATCAACATTTCAATACTTCACACTTTTGAATCAAAACTCCATTAAACAATGGTTATTTGGACAGCCTATTCATATGATGAAATAGGCCACCTAGAAAATACATTTCCAAAGGAATCAAACCATAGTAAATGTTTTTACATAAATATTAAATTATTTCTGATATTTATTTCCAAAATAAGTCTCCTTTTATATGGAAGGAGGTGAGCACATAAACCTAGTGCTGACACACACTGCATCCATTTTCCTTAATACAGAAACAAAGTAAATAAAAATGGCTGTCTTCTGGATTGTAGCACCATGTAGTATGGTAGAAATTTACCAATATTTCAGGAGCCCATGCTGTCTCCATCATCGCCCTGATGATGATGGAGGCAGCATGGACCTCTGGAACATTGGTAAACTTGTACCAGACTACACAGCCCTACAACCCAGAAGACAGCCATCTTCAGACACTCTGCTATGAAAATCTCAAATCCTACAAAAATAAATAAATTAGGTTATTCCCAGTGCTTTATTTAACCCTTTATCTGCTAATGAAGTGCTACTAGTCCTTATATGTTTCAATCTCGTTGATGCTTCAAGGTTAGGTTTGCACTATATATGTACATATTCAAAGATAGCATAATCACACACATTTGATTTTCAACATTCTCTGCTCTGCACCTTGGACTCAGAGATCTCTCTTCTGTTACTCAGATTTTATGAAACAGTTCCTCTTGCACTGTCTACAAGACCACAATTGGCAGTTAGAAGGTTAACCGAGCATCTATTACATAAAATATATTTTGGAAACAAATAACCACCACATATTAAAGTTCACACACAATAACAAGAAATAAGTCCCTGAAATGATTATTTTTTAGCTACGTTACATCCACACACATTCATATTAAGGCATAATATATGATGATAATGACAATTAATAATCAATACAACTGTTGTTAAGAACTTTTACACTTCTAAACTAATAAATAAATGGGACATGATACGAAAGAGTTTATTAACTTCCTTAAATTTGGATAGTTCATGCAGCAGCCTAAATATTGTTAAAATTCACAGCACGGAGTAATGTTTATGCCACAAACAAAACACTTTTTATGATATCATTAGAATAATAAATAATAACTAAGCCATGTGCTTACTCAGAAAATGTACCTATTGCAAATAATGAGCAACCAGTTGTTACACTTTACACTTTGAGTTGTATAAAATGGCGACATCCAGCATTGCCTGTGTGAATACAGCTGGTCTGAAGCTCACAATAACGTTGGATAGTTTTCAACTTGTATAAGGGTTAACATTTCTAAAGGATCAACATCCAAGATAGTGGTTATGCAACAAGCACAGAGAGGTGTACATGTTCGCTATGTACAATGGTTCATATGTGCAAGATAATTCTAAACTGCTCTTCCTCACTTTTCTGTCATTAACGAAAGTTTATTCAATAATCTTCTGAACAGGGCACAAGTAGACCCATCTTCCACACGGCTTGATGGCAGCAACACCGAGCAGGCTTCATTCAGTCTTTTTAGGGCTTTTTATTTCTTTAATTTTTTTTATACTTTCATATTTAGGAGAAAAATTCCAACAACTTTCTCTGCAATACAGGGGTTGGTTATATTGAAATTGAAAGCCTTATAATTCTTACTCTAGATGAGGTTGTCTATAAAAGATGCCACCTAGAGTGGTTTGCCACCAGAAAAATAGAAATGTTCCAATGAAGAATTCCAGCAGTCCTTGTTACAGTCTGCCCAATACTGTTAACTTAAACTAGTCCTTCAACGTCTCGGAAACGAGTGTTGATAACTAACATACTGATGTCCAAGCACAGCAGCACAATTTTACAGACAACCTTGCTGTAGACTGTGATCTAAAATGGTACACTGCAGACTTTAAATGTTGAAATGATGTTCATTTTTCTACTGGTCTGTTAAGTCGTCAGAATTGCCAATACCTTCCTTGCAGCACGAGGTAGGTGGCAGAAAGCCATCGTCATACATCTGGACCAGAACGTTCGCCAGCATACAATGTCACAGATGCTATGTAGTTATTGGGCATCACCTAGCAACACAAGCATCAAACTTCAAACCACGTTTCCTGAAGTTAATTATAAAAGCCACAGCCCTCCATGCTTTCAATATAATGAAAACCCATGACAATAATCTCTGTTATTTGGCAACGATAAAATGTCAGCCTCACCTTATAAAGGATTTTATGATATAACACACAAGACTGCACTTCAACAGGTCCCAATGAGTCTGCAGTGATTCAAGTATCCAGTTTTATAAATAATTCAAACCAGAAGTCAGGCATCGTCAAATTTGTTCCAGTATTGGAATTTCTATATCCATTAACAAATCTTAAATAAACTTGGTACCAAAATTTGCAGTATACTCAGATTCAGGTTCTTCATATTTTGGGACATCAACATTAAATGGTATTAAAAATATATTAAAATTGGCCGTCAATCACAATATAAGATAATTAAAAGATTAAAATATCATTTTTTGTTCCTTATCGAGTACTCGATTTACATGTGGAACATTTACGACATGTTTCGGCTATCAATAGAGCCATCATCAGGTGTTATGTTATAAACTTTTTAACTGAATTACTGAATTTTGCTGATTTTTTAATGATTTTTAGTTTTCATTTTTCTTATCAATCTTATGATTGACGGCCAATTTTAATATATTTTTAATACTATTTAAATAAATCACGATATGACGCACCTACAATATCTTAACATTAAAATGGTTAATTAAACATGAAAAATATTTACTGGAAACCACTATCTAACATATGTAAATATAATATTTCATTAATCCTCAAATTGTGAAGGATGGGAGAAAAAAAAAAGAAGAAAAAGAAGAAGACATGATCATTCTTAGATAAGAGTATAATTCAATATAATAAAAGTTAAGACAAACAAAAATGTGTGCTTTGCAGGGTACACAAAAGGCAAGATTTTGTGGGTCATCCATTCTTTCATTCAATTATTTTGTTCCCCTCGAATCTACCAGAACATGCATATACGAACATCCCCTTCACTGTAATGACAGTAGGGTAGGCATATTTTGGAATGCCATTACAACTAATTACCTCAAATATTATATCCTGGTAACCATAGCAGAATGTTGAACCAAAAGGATTCGTGGTGTTGGTTGAACTAGCTCGGTTCAGTACCACTGGTCTTTCACTTGGCTTCAGTTGCTCCGAAATGGCATCCCATTTGGTGTACGCTGAGATCTGATACATACACTCTAATCAAGCAAGATACAGCCTGCTGTATGGAGCTCAGAGATACCAGACTCTCTTTATCATCACTTCTAATAATATAGACATCAGTATTTCACAAGAGTCTAATTTTCACTCTCTGACATAATTAAATCAGTGAACAAATCCATATCTGTAAATACTTCGGAGGTAAATGTGATGAAAAACTAACAACGAAAAACCACATACAAGTTGTTATTGCACAGGAAGGACAGAGAGTCAAAACTGAAACAAGTAAATACCAAATGATAATGCCCAAGAACCACTGAAAAAAATCCTGTGTTGAACAACAGATTTATGGCAATTAAATACATGAAGTCTTTCCTCACAGCTATCCTATTTCTGTGTCACAAAAATGAAATGGATAAAAAGTAAGATGGGTGACCATTTGAATAAACCCTCTGCTCTTCATTTTTCAAAACAGAAAATAAATTACTTTTTCACCTTCTTAATGAATGTCTGGCATAGCAAATAAATTTGTATGCAGTAAACTAGAAAAATTATATTCATTCTCTTGTGCATGCACTTGTTATTTTCAGTCACATAATTTTGATAATTCTGCCCTTAAGAAAGCTTATGTAAAATAAAATTACCATACACACAGATATGCAATGTGTCTACGTATGCAAACATCTCCACTCATGGGAACTTGTAGCACTTCTTTACAGAAAAGCATCTCACCATAATAGATCCAGGAGGTGAGACATCAATAAGCTGTCCAGCATCCGAAGATTGCTGCTGTCTGGAATCTGGGGGAAGAGCCAGATGGAATTCACAACGGTGGTACCTGTAATAAAACTGTAGCTTAATTTATCTCAAAATCTTTGTTTATGAAGATGGCTGTCTTCTAGGTTGTTGTGCCATGTAGTCTGGTAGAAATTTACTGACATTTCCAAGGTGCTTGCCACCTCCATCATCAGGGTAATGATGATTGAGGAACCAAGCACCTTGGAGATGTCAACAAACTTCTATCAGACCGCATGGTGCAAAACCCCAGAAAACTGATTGGAATGAAAAATCAGCATTATCCCTATCAGAATTAGATCTCATTGGTAGTTATATCTGTTACAAATTTTTAGAAGTATTCCTACACATCTTCCACCTATGGGTAGATATTTCATAATTATTGTGGAAGAACACATCAGAATTAATTTCTTTAACTTTCTAGATTCTTCTACGTTGTTGTATACAGTCTGTTTTTGGTGAAAGCTGTAGCTCTGTACTTGCCACTTAACAGTTTATAAGCTGTCATCTCAGAATCCGAGAACCATTAGCCCGATTTTGACATATTTTGTATCAGAGGTACCTGCCCATCTGCCATGCCTGTTTTAAGCCATCTATAAGACAGCATCAAAGATTACCATTCAGAAATTGTAAACCACAGACAATAACAGCAAATGTAATGGAAATATTACGTACACACATTTTTCGATTTCTTCAAATATTCTCTCCTGTAAAAATCCATTATTATGGCATAACGCATGGTGTTAAAAGCACAAAAAAATTGATATTGTATCTTACAATGGCAAGTGTCTTCAGCAGCGTCCATTATGTGTAAAGGAACTTGGGAATATTGACTAGATTGAGGGATCTCACGAGAACAATCCGCCATAACAGAATAGTGTTGGATGATGTGATTTTGAAACAATAATACAGTGACTGTGTTTATTGCCTTAATCATGACTGTCTTCCAGTTTCATACTCACATACCGTTTAATGCACTCAGTGGTCAGTCAAGCCTTCAGTGATATTTTCATATCACACTGGTCATTTATCTTAATTTTGCAGCAACATCCACATAATTAATCATAGCCGATCCAGGAAAAAATACATCTTTGAGCATTTCTTCACCTTTCAGGTATCTGCATTCGAGGAAGCGTTCATATGAAAGGATTATTACTACTTCTGATCAAACAGACTCAATGTGGACTCCACATCACATGGTACTGTGACATGAGGGATGATGCAGACAGAGAATAAAATGGATACAGCTGATCTTGAACACAAGACCACTGCCATCAGAGTCCAGTGTCTTAGTACCAGGTCCCATTATTAAGTAATAACACAATTCTGCAATTCTCTCACCCTTGCTTTGACCATTCAAAAATCAGACATTATTTTCAAACACATGAACGCCACAATTCAGTGCTTACATATTGAAATTGTAGTGCCCAGGATAATTGGTATGAAGGACAAACTTCTTCACTTTCTGCGTCTTAGCATCAAACAGAATATCCTGTAAGAAAACAAGAATTGTCATTAAGATGTTCATCCACTTCATCACAAGGAATCAGGTTAACTGCATTATGGGATACAACTTCACATTCCAATAAAGAAAATCTTGTTTTCATTTTGTACTTTTAGTATATTCAGTTACTATAAAAGGAAGCCCTCTGTATGTTTTCAAGCACGACTCTTACGAAGTAGTATGAACACACCATGCCAAGAGTGAAGTAGTTGTAGAAAAAGTCAGATCTTCGTGCAGCAACGCGACGATGTGCATTGGGACTGTGTATCTTCATCTTATCCTCAGCTTTATAAAATATACGCGAAGGTGCCCCAAGTGCTGTAGCCACATCCTGGCATGTATCCCCAAATAGAACCTCTCGACTTAGACACTGCTTGCGTGGCTCCAAGATACGAGATGAACCTGACAACGATAAGAGTACGCAGGTTTTAGTGCTGAACACTAAAGAGTTATGTATACTTGAGAAAGAAAATAATAATAATACTGCCCTTCTTGAGAAGTAAAATGCACATAAAGAAATTGAAATTATGAACTGTTATACAGATTTGTAATGCAGAATTCTCACTGTATGTAACATACCCTCTGTAAACAAATGCAGGCGTATTCCTGTGGTGTGAAGGTGTTCCCTCAATACCTCAGCTCGTTCCATGTACAAGTGATTATGATAACAACACAATGGCAGTGCTGGTGAACGACTTTCTGCAAGGTTGTTGCCGGTATACACAGATGTGCGTGACACCACAGGTGATGACCCATTTGGGAATTGAAGAGACCCCAGACCATGAGCATATCCTGGCTAAAAAAAGAAGCCTTAATGATGACCTTAACAACATTTGTAAATTCTGATACTGCCATTCTCATCCAACTCAATGGCACAATGTTCATCGAGCTGTTCGGAGTTATTCAGCTAGCCGAGAAATTCCATTTTACGAATTATAAGATGTTATACGAGGCGAAAGACTTGGATGGATTCATTAGAAAGTCTGAAAATGGACATGTGATTTTGAACTTGAAATCAAAGGAGTATCTAGGTTTTGTCAATATCAACAGTACAAAAATTTTGAAAGTACAATGAAAATTTCTGTGAGCACCATCACAAACCATCGAACCAGTCATGTTGAAGACTCAGACGCTCCTGCTAAGGTCAGGTACACAATGAATTAGAGTGCTAGCAAAATTAATAAACCTACAGCCCAAACACATCACAAATGAAAGTTACTCACAGCAGATGCAAGGAATGTTTTCTGTTGATCCATCTAATAATGTATGGAACATATGAAACACTTCGGAAACGAGTGAAAGTAAATGTAATGTCTAATAAAACTAATACTTCACTATTACTGTAGGATCACCATCAACATACTCTTAACAGCAAAAGAGAAGGAACTTTATCAACATACAAGCTATAAAATTAAGTGTTATGCAATAAAGCCAGTTCTACAAAAATGTATATTTATTCAAAGCTTATTTAACCTTTATTAACCAAGCATCATGTTTCGTTCATGGTCCAGTTAGCCAGGAGTCGTAGTAGCATAATTATAAAATGTTAGAGCCTGTCCAGCAGCTCAGCTGTAGAGAGGTTCACATACCCTATTCTGGCATGATAAATGTTAATAATGCTGATTCAGCTACAGAGATTACATGGCGTCAAATGAGCAACGATGATGATTATGTACGATGAATTTGCAATGATGGACAAGAAAACTAACACAGCAACTCAGTTTGAAGTTCGCCCTTTATAGGGCAGTGGTAACTGTGTCTAACACCTGCTGTAAAGTTTGGTAAGTCAGCTTTTTGCCCACACAGTCTTCATGAATATGATATGGATTTCAAAATAAACAGCACAAAGGTAAAATTGTCTGTTACTTAAATAAGCACACCATGCAGACACATGGGGTAGTGGAGGGATAACTCCACACATTCTTAAACTTAGCATTAGGTGGAAATAAGTGATTAGCTTCACACTGGTGGTCTATCCACAGTAGTTAAATGGTTGGGAGATGATGCTAACCACTCACCTCCATCTAGTAACAAGGTTCAGAATGGTTGAAGCTACAGCCAACTTCACCTTTACTGCAAATCTCATCATTCTTGTTTGGCACTTCCTACATTCAGTTGAAAATTTTCGATCTGGCACCTCAATGAAACACCAGTGTCTTAAGGTTAAGAAAATGCAGTTTCATAAACCTTTCTCTTAGCGAAACATGGATGACCTCATGGTTTTATCCAATGCTATGGCCACTATTCGTATCACATTGTGAATGTAGGAATTATGCTACTCTCCTTACTACGTAGTTCTGTTTCATTGTGCTACGCTGGTATTATTAACCAAGAACACATATGCTGAATGTTAACTTTGTATTTACCTGAAACTTTGATTCAACAGGGAAGCAAAAGGAGAGACCACGGAAGTTCAACACAAACAGCTGTTTCTCAGTGTCATAAACACCTGGGTGTGTTGCACCAAATGAATGCTCAATTTGCTCAATACTTGGTAAAACTTCTGGTGAATTGAAAGTCAGTCCACTAAAACAATAAAGTGCACCATCAGAGCATTTTAAGGTCATCATTCTTACTAAATTCAGACTCACATTCACTTTTTGTTTAGAAAGTAACTTACCAATATTTTAACTTTACAAGCTTCATGTTATATATTTCTATAATCTGAAAGAAAAGGTAAATATACTATATTAAAAATATGTAAACTATTTCTGAGAACAAGTAAAAATTTCTGGTGTACAAATAACTTAAAAAAGAGTCTAGTCAATCTCACCTTTAATCTTTGTACTACTGGATCAAATATCAATCGAATACCATCCTGTGGCAAACTTATTACAAGATCAACTGTTAATGGATTCTGAAACAAACAATGTCACAAAATATAACTCCTTTCCACAAAGCAACTTTATACACCAGCAATGGTCACATGTATTATACAGAATGAAGTCAGATAATTGACCTAAGTTTGACAAATTTCATAATCAAGTAGGATATCTACATGACACATAGCAAGAAATCATAAATTTCTGCACTTTTATAAAAATTCAGCTAACTTAAAACAAATCTTGAACAAATTCTTACCATGTCACTGTATAAGACTTGAACACCCTTTATTATTCCCACTTGTGACTGAATTATGGCTACTGCCTGTGAAAAGTGCATTCCTAGAAGTAAAATACAGAAGACCCTTCAACAACCAAGAAACAAATTATTTATAATTCTAGACATTATTTTGTAATGTTGCATGTATGATGCAACAATTAAGAATATAACTACCACTAATAACAAATGGACTCATAAGGTGATGATGATTTAATTAAAATATTTTTATAACATTCAGTGAATGTCACAAATCAAGTGTTTAAAAACAAATGCATTAATACGCAAATAATAAACGTAAATATGAAAAAACCTTACCTAAAATAAACTCCCACTGTTCGCATCCTAGAGACCTTTCTGGCACTACTTCAAGTTCTAGCATGTCTTCAATGTACACTCACTGAGGTGATGACTTTATTTTTAAAGCAGTGTCACAATGACAATCAAAATGCTAGAAATATTTATTTTAATACGCAGCTCCTTTGTCTGCTCCTTCACAGCGCCATCTTGATTGTTGTATCTCTCAGCTGTCAACGAATGACGTAAGAACAGCTGGTGAGTATGAAAATATTAGTACTCACACTTGCACTGTGTATTTACGTCGACAGTTAATCCATACAATTAAATTTGTCCTAACTAACAGAACTGATGACTTCTGTTTTTAATCCTCGCAACATTATGCTTTTATTATCTTGAGAAGGAGAATTATATTCTATTCTCATCCTTCAGGCAACAGTAATTTTGAGTTGAACATACACACATCACGCCACTGATAATGCGTTCAAGACAGAACAAAACGAGCGAACGATATGACTTCAGGCACGACGATCAGATATTAGGGGATATTTCCAAGCAGAGTCTCTGCAACACGCGCTCTGCATGAAGTGAGCACACTTTAACATTTTTTTTTCAATCATGCTTCGAGAAAGTCATCAATTGTAAGGAATTTTTAAGAAGCTGAATAAAATTTCTGATTCCATATCTGAAATGTTTGTAAAATAAATAATGCATGTGCTGTACATGTGAAGAAAGTATCGCAGTTTATGGAATTGCTACAGTAACCTGCTGTAGTATTATGATAACGCCAATGTCACCTTGCCATCGGAGAGTTGAATGGACTTGTACACGTACATCTCGCTATTGTCCTTGCACCGCAATGTCATCTTTTTTTTATTATTCGCTAATTTAACGCCTTTCTCATGTGTCGCGACCAGCTGCATTAAAGGTGTGTAGAAGGTAAAGAGCATAACGACTTGTATTAGGACGCAATCATGGCATACTATTTATGTACTATTTATTGATCGTTCCATCTAATTCAGTCAGTTACGTAAAATGAAAAGCTTTTTCTCTTTCCGCGATCCTGATGAGTGCACGCGAACTTTGCGACTCGAAAATGAGTTGAACGTTTCTTTGGGATATGGATGTTTGTCCTTCATAGAAGGAAGAAGGCTTTGAGCAGGTGAGACAGCGGCTGGCGCCAGGGGTTCCTAGGGCCGTAACGGTATTCCATGTTTCAGTTGTCTGTATATGTCGTGGTTTACTGGTGTGAGGCCTGTCTTCGAACAAGTCCTCGTATTTCTTCGGCGTTTTTTTTTCATTACATGGTATTCACTGGGCACTTGTTAAGTCTAGTTTCCAGAAGAGATAACAGTGGAGGCACATTTACGATTTACAATTTGAAAGGGGAAAAATAAAAGCTTTTTTGAGTTCATCTCAAACGTCAAGCGAATGCGGATGCTGAAGACGAAATTTTCCTTTGTTTTAAGACAAGACCAAAGCCAATTCCGGCAGTCGAAACATGACGTAAACAGCGCTACTGGCAATCGATACTGGCGCCATCTCTGCCTTGCAAGCGAAATCAAATGAAGGCGATGACTCCGACTTGTTCCTTGTGGCAATCGTGGGTAAGTCAGTAACCTACACTACAGACTGATGCGAGCGCCTCTGTCTTAAACCTCTGTAAACATATCAAACGTCAAAATAACATTTGAGTTTCCGTGACGCGTCAACAGGAAACACTTGTTACAACTTCATCGTTTTCGTGCGATCCATACATAACTCCTTTAAACTTATACTTTAAATTGGCATAAAATTGGGGCATTCATTAGCAAATAAAAAAATGTGAACGTGCGCTAAAGAAATACTAGGAGAAATGTGTGCCATAATATTGGCTAATAAAGCAAGATTTAAGTAAAGATGGCGACTACTGTTGACAATAAATGGGAAATGGCTTGCTTAGATGAAAACGGTCAGACAGAAAAGTAAAGTACAAACAACTTGTCTTAGGTTAAAGTTATGAGTTACCACGTGGAATGCAAAGACATTTATGACGACGAAAGGCTGGGAATATAAATTAAGAACATTTTTACAGAAACGTAATAATTTAATGATGTAAAAATATGGAAGAAAGTGTTACTGTCCTAATTTAAGGTGCTGTCGCGGCAAGGACTGAGGAAAACTACGAAATATTTACGACAGCCTGTCTCCGGGACCGAGATTTAAAACCGAGACCACCAGAATACGAAGCAGGAGTGCGAACCACTCTGCCGCGACGTTATCTGATACTGCATATCTCATATCTTATTTGTGTTTTGTCTTGTTACAAAATCCGCAAGAAATTAGAACATTTCACGTAAATTATTATAATAACACTGCAGATATGTCAACATATCTTCCATCCGGCAGAAAAGACTGACGTTTTGAAGTTGTGTAGTATACAACAATGAGAGAAGTGGGGAAGATATAAGGCTATAAATACTTCAAGGCCAATATCAGATAAGCCTGTCACATTGAGTAATGGACGATTTCACTAAGCGCCAACAAAAGTGCATCGCTGCATTGTTGTCAAAAATTGATAGTAAATGTATCACACTTAATTTCCAAAATTGCTGTTACATGTTAATGTTCCAGTTTACATTATTTACTAAATGAAACAGAATTTGTTCACAAATTAAAAGTCTTCTCTGCCACACTCTGTATTATCAACACGTGGCACAGGGCCCAGCTGTTTTTTTTTCGAGTTGACGTCCACTCTGAGCGTTGACATTTCTGAAGATTCTTTTTCCAGCAGATTTTCGAAACCTTTTGGACATTTAGTGAGACTCCTTGGAGACTTCTATCTGCACAAGACAACAAAATATATCCACGCGTCGAGTAGAGATTTGAACCCACGATCCCGGTGATTTTGTGGTCAAGGCCCGTGCGTTCGACAGCGTTATCATCAACCACAGAACAGAGCGAAATAAAAGCGACCTTGATAAAAGAAGAAGAAGAAGAGAGTGCCTTTATACGTTACCACGTGAGTCGTCCATGATTTGTTAACGCCTTTGGTTTACTTGTGAGTTTTCTCTGAATCAGAACATTTCTGTTCTCTGTGAAGATAAGTCTTCATTCTCACTGCTACATCCTTCGTGTTTTATTTTAATTAAGAGTCGTTGCTGTCTAGACAAGAGCGCGAGGGGAAGTCGAGAGCCTCCGACACAGCCGACGGGAAAACAGAAAGGGACAGTTGTGCCACTCTACGTCGAGTAAAGTGAAGACGGGAGAAGCCAACGTTGGCCTGCTGAAATGAGTCTCGTCATACAACGGTAAGCCAAACAAACGATTATGCTCCGTATTATGCACGAAGTTCGCGAATATTGGACAGGGATCGGTCAGTTGTTTTCTTGCAAACCTTAAAACATATGCAAACGCTGTCAAATATGAATTCTTAAAAACCTGAGTGTCTCATTTTTAATAGGTTATCTGCAGTTTAAATTTTAAATAAATTACTGTGGACACAGGATGATGCCGGATAGATTTGTTTGTTATAAGCGCAAAATGCAAACATTTAATATATAATGAGACGACAACGTATTTTTATGTCCGTTCATATATTTAATCTCTCAAACGACTTGCGAATTTCAATTAAGACTGTTTATTGGTGGTCTACTTACGGACTTAATTTCATATAGGCCCACTTTTTATCTAATTTTGCAACAACAAAAAAAAAGCTGAAATCGAATTGTATCAGCTTCTTCAAAATAGGCAGATCGTACGAAATGCGTGTGCCAACTAATGCAATACGCAAAGCTGACGTTTATTGCTTTCGTCAACAAACTTGCAAGGACATGACTGACAGAAATTTGCAAAACAAACTCGGGAAAACGTTTGAGTCTTATCTGAAATGGAGATGACTTTAATAGCTTGGCGTGTGACCCGTCAAAGTTAACGAGAATTAACTTGTTTTGTGTTGGAAATTAATACAATTTATAGCATCGGCATCTCTGAAAATCGCATTGAAAATATATTTATAAAATAAATGAAATTGCAAAAATACTTTCGCGGAAACTGACGCATTAATATAAAACCGACTGTCTGACTCCAGCCAGACTTTGCCCCTGTTGCCACAAGAGTGACCACCGTCACAATTTAATAATAATTTCTCCGCATCGCATTGGTCAAGTGTCGTTTTGCCTTCGCCATTTCAAAATACCTTACCATTTCTTCAACCTACCTTTACCAGAAGGGCGATCGGACACTGCCTGGGAACCTTCACAGCCGAAAACTTTATCTGTTTCTCCCTCTAAATTTATCGTCTCACACTACTCTCTCTCCTCGGTTTTCTTCTCTCTCATTCGTTCGTGCATCACAGTGTTAAAAGCATCTCACAAGACGGCACCTTTCCGATGCCTACACCTGTACAGGACAACAAAAAGCAACATGCAGTTAGCACTTAATAGACATGTTCGGCAAAAACTAAGGCCAATACTCTTAAAATTTCTGCTTGGCTGAGAGAACAACTAAAAATTCGGACATGCCCCGATCGGGATTCGAACTCATGACCTGTGTTCGAAAGATTACGACCTGAAACCAGTTTCTTTAATACCCGTTGTGTAATATCAGAAATATCTGGCAGGAGAAGTATGTCACAGCTCAGCAAAACACGAACAAAAAAAAGTATTTGTCTTACTTTTCCTGGTTCAATGGTACTCCGAACACGGGAACGCAGCAGAAAGCTCGCGAGGAGCGTAAGCCTCAACTAACTGGCTAAGCAGAAAGCTCGCGAGGAGCGTAAGCCTCAACAAACTGGCTAACAACGCTCGACTCTGCTGTGTTCCACTGTACGGAGTAGCAATGAAGAATGAAAATAAGACAGAAGACTTTCCATCTTCGTTTTTCAGAGCGTTCGTCCCTGTGGTAATTCGAAAAGGAAAAAAAAACAGCACTAGAAAGCGCACTCAGTAAGATCAGTGAGTCCAGGGAGCTTTCAGTTTGTATGATGATAATGTACGTATATTGGATCAACGGGTTCAGGAGATCACAGATAAAGACGCCATACGCCATACATCTAACACAAACAGCTGCCTGGTGTCATGGTCACCACCAGATCCTGGAGTTAACAAGCAAAACAATACAATAGGAAAACTACAGCGGCTTCTTGATCACACCTATCGCTTTTCTTTATTTCAAAATGGAGCGAAGATTCATTGCGGATTTGCAATATGCTGATGTGATGCAAATTCTGTTTGTTTCCACATGTTTAGATCGACAAAATATGTAAGATTGGATTTGAGGTTTTCACGGCGGTGAGTCCGAGGATAGCTCTCTTCTGAATTGTAATACACTGATGATGGAGGCAGCAAGGACCTCTTGAACAGTAAATTTCTACCAGACTTCACTTTTCCCACCATGTTTTACATCCCATCTTAGATATCTAAATTTTCCGGGATAGATATTTGTTCCTTATTTTGTAATGGAATATATGTATATGGAATCATGTTGGTATGCCCGATTATTTGTGCCCCGGTATTAACTTTGAACAAACTGGCTTACTATGGTGAAACTTGGTATGAAATTATGCCACTCGCAATCACCTCACCTTTGCACCTTCTAATTTCTTACCATCAATAATACCACGACACGACGGCCGTGCGAACGTCTGAGGTGGGAGCGACATTATTGCCACATAACGTAGGCCCTAGAAAGAAAAAGTATCTTAGAAAAAACGTCCAAATTCTGTTGGGCGTCATACATTTGTAAACTGTCAAGCAATAATATGGTGACCACGCGAAATTCATATTTAATGGAACTGCGAATGTAAAATTTTCAAGAGAAATACAATCATAATTACAAATTCTTATTTAAGAGTTTTATAATTTTTATTCTCTCCAAGTAACTGCCGTAATGTTACCTTAAAATAGGCCACGGCTGCTTCCCATTTACTTTCACAATAATACAATTCAATTACCTCAGCAGTTAATACGGCGTCTTATACTCGAACGTCAAAAATATTATTCTATGAAACGTCGCCTTCGAACCCTTGAATATGTTTAAACCCTTGATTATGATGTTCTTCTGGTTCGAAGCACAAGCGTTCCACTGGCCGAGATTCAAAAAGCAACCAGCAAACCCTGACCATACTCAACTGATCAGCTGTTCACACTGAAAATGTTACCTAGGTCTCAGGATGTGGGTTTAGCTTGTTAGTTGTCTGCCGATACTGTTGACTGCAGTTCTTGCCAAGTGCCATGTCAGTTTGATGCATAGACCATCTGACTGGCAACGTAAGCTCACGAATATTACCTTAGAAGCAAGAAAAAATAACGTTCCGAAACTCAGATAGCACAGTGAATGGCTACGGGCTGAATGTCCCGCGTGCTGAACCCAACCCAAAACGAGATAAGCGTGATAATGACCACTCAGTACCAAGGAAAGCCGGCGTTCAAAAAAGACCTGCGAATCTTTTCCTCGATGTTCCTAAAACGCCTCCACAACGCACTGTCCTTAATCACGAGGGCAGAGGAATGTCCGCTTGGTTTCGTGACTTCCATATGACCTTCACGTTTATGTGACATCATTTTGCCAACCAGGTATTTACGGTTTGGCAGAAATAAGCGAGAAAAGATATGACCTTGAGAATTTTAAAGAACTGTATCTCGCAAACTATTGGGCCAATCTTGTTGTGACTTCCATATGATCTTGACATTTACGTGACCTCGTTTTGACATGAGTGTGGTCAACCAGGTATTTACGGTTTGGCAGAAATAAGCGAGAAAAGATATGACCTTGAGAATTTTAAAAAACTGTATCTCGCAAACTATTGGGCCGATTTTGTTGTGACTTCCATCTGATCTTGACCTTTGCGTGACCTCGTTTTGACATGAGTATGGTCAACCAGGTATTTACGGTTTGGCAGAAATAAGCGAGAAAAGATATGACCTTGAGAATTTTAAA